CCCATTTGAGATCTCAGATCCTTTATAAAACTCCTCTATTAATTCATATAAGTCACTACAGCAAGTAGCTACAGATATTAGATACTGAGATTGTTTTCCTCAGGACTTGCATAAATTTAAAGACATCTGTCTCCCACCAGGTCTCTCCAGTGAAGCTAAGAAAGGGTTTCCCTATCTGCTACTGCAATCTCATCACACCTCTTCTTGGGGACTGGGAGCAGGTTGGTTTTTAAAGCTGTAGAATAACTCATTACCCAAAGAATATTTGCAAATGAAGTTATTTTTCATGTTGCATCTGTCATCGTTCCATTGAAACATGTAAGGACCTCCGACACCTGGTGGGGCAGATGGCTGGTGGTACATCACAACACAGATTTCACTCCCACAGGACGGCTCATCTACGTACCAGTTCCTAAGAAAATACAACAAACATGTCAAGTAAGACTTGATGTCACTTTCCATGGTACTGCAGATGCTCAGATGGGAATACAGCACACAGGGCACCACAGAGGGCAGGACACCCCACCCCACCCTCACCCCGTCTTCCACCGTGTGAAAGTAGGAACAACAACAATACAGTTATTTACAGTGTATCTTCTCTTTTTGGAATTCTTAATTTTCAGAGAAAACCTCAGCAAGCAAGGTGTTCAACAAATACTAGGGAGTGAAAGGCTGAGTACCTCGCTGTCTGAAACTCCTCTGCGAGGCTGAGTACAAGCTCAGGAGGACTTTGGCTCTCTCTACACAATTTTAGACCTGTGCAAAATCATTTATCAAAATGATTTTTGCTCTCTGGCCTCAGTGCCCAATGCCTGCAAAATTCTGACACCTATTAAATAAGAAAATTAAAAAGCTAAAGCAGGATCTGTTTTTCTCTGTCCAGAAAAACACTACCATGAAAAAACCCTGGCCTGGGGAGAATTTTTTTTTTTTTGGCAATAATAAACTTCACCACTGGAAAACTGTCAGCTTTTCCAAGCAGTACACAGGAAGGGGGAGTCACTACTTAGCATTCTGTAATAGAATCATTACTGAAAAGGCATTTTATGCATCTCAGAGAACCACTTCTAAGACTGTGTCCTGATTTTGAAAAATGTTCAATACCCACTGATTTTGGAACCAGCAGCTTTCTGCATGCCAAGCACTTTCTGAAAACTGATCCATACAAGCTGTGTCTCACCAATGAAAGGCAATAAAAAAGCTACGTCTGTTTCTTAGCAGCAGCAGCAGATCTGGTTCCAGCTTCCTATTATCTACCTCCAATATTAGAATCACTGGAGAAACTTTAATACATTAAACAGTACTAAAACCAGTTCTGTTTTATTCATTCCTGCACAGAGAAACTAAAATTTCTTACAGGTTCCCGAAGCATAAATTTCACCATAACAAGGTATTTTTACACATGCCCAATATAAAGAAGAGTGCAAAGGCAGACTTGTCATACACATGACATGCTGCCATAAAATATTTAAGTGCATTTGGGTTATTTAATGAAATTTGAAGTTCCATCACTGTAAATACAGCAAGAAGTCCAGGATAATGAGTGAACATTGTACAGTTTGAGGTTTAGAATTACTTTAATCACAGGTTCAGTAGTAAATATCTGCCAGGCAAAACTCTCTTCAATCTTGCTGCTAAGGCTTTCATCGACCTGGCAATGTTTAGAGCAGATTTTCTCTTTCTACACTACAGAAAGGCAGACCTTGTAGGGCTGGATCTGAGAATATATTTTGTCTAGAAAACTGTGACTCATTACTGAAATAAAATCATAATTTAGCAGAAATTTTGAGGCTAAACACATTTTGGTTCTATGTTGAACAGAAATGGGAAAGTAGTGAAAACAACTCCAGCAAGCTTGTATTGGTTGTAAATGTTGTTGCCTTTATGTTTTAATTACAGCAAATGCTGTGGTTCTGCTTGCCCTAAGACAAGGAGGCAGAAATCTAACAAGCATTTTGAAAATTTTAATTTTTAATGTCTACAATAAACACTGCAACTCTTCAAACTTACTGTCTCACAAGAAAAAAAAAAAATGCTATTCCCTCAGCAAGTAAAAGGAGAAGGGCCCATCTCTCAGGACATCAGGGACAGAAGTTCAGGGGATCTGAAGTGCAGGAACCTTCAGGTCAAAGCACATGTTTTGTACGTGCCTCATCAGAGATTTTTAAGACCAGATTGCTTGTTCTTCCATCTCCTTTTAGCAATCAAAAATTATAAATATATCCCAAGCTAGACACTCTAGGTGTCTTATATAGACCAACGAAGAGAGAACAGGAGGGTGATTTGTCTGCCCCTTACATTGGGATGGGACGAATCACTGTCTGGGATGCTAGACAGCGACCGCAGAAGGAACACAGATGACAACTGGGACAACAGTGCTTCATTCTTTTGAGAAAATCCTTTCTGATTGCTAAAGGCAGGTGACAGTCCCTGACAAGCTTGCTTCCCACTCTCACTCGCAGGTACCTACCGGAACTTGGATGAGCTGCCATCTGACCAGGAGTAGAGGTTCTGACACTCTGTACTATTGTCTACCTCCTTCTTTTTCCTCCTAAGCCCTATCCAAAAATCTCCATCAGAAGCTAAGAGACTCTCAATAAATTTTTCAATCAGTCTTTGCTCTCCTTCTGTTTCAATACTGACTAGATGTCCGCCATCAGCTCTGCAGGCAAGGTGCGCTTCTTCGTAGCTGATCCTGCGCGAAGCATCGTGAAAATAAACTATTTTGTAGCATGGTTTCTGTGTTCCACGCTGGCAAACTGTCTGTCCTGCAGAAATGGAAATAAATCTGTTACAGAAACTATGCCTGTTAGTACCAAAAGTGAATGCTAATGCTTCCACTTGGTTGAGTTTTGCCCTGTACGATAGTTTATAAGGAAAACACAACACACATAAAAAGCCTCTTGTAATACTGGACTGGCAAAGGGCATCTCCAAACTTTTCTTACTGCATGTAACAGTTTAGGATGATCTGCACAGCGCTGTTCTTTCATGTCTTGCACTTCTCAGCTCCCTCATGAATCTTCTGCAATTTGAAGACCCTAGGAGCTCCTTACAAAGAAGCAGCGCTGAACTAGAGAGCAAGCTGATGCACAACCTTTTAAAAAGAGTTCCTTTACAAGGGTTCAAGGAGGCTTTTGAAAAATTAGTATTATTTTTAAGGAATTGAAATGGCTAAAATTAGAGATCCCCTTACACAAGCAGAGATAGCAATAATTTATCTTCTGGAGTATATGTAATAGTTTCTGGGCAACCTGATCTAGTAAATGTGTATGTTTGGTGGCCCTGCCAGGCAGGGGGGTTGGAACTACATGATCCTTGAGGTCCCTTCCAACCCGGGTCATTCTATGATTCTATGATTCTATGTACTGCTGTGTATCCAGGCGTGTTCACACAGTCCATTTGTAAGCATTGCTCTGCACTGTAATGTTCCTGACTGCCCAGGAAGTAAACAATGTCTGCTCTCAGACTGTCATAAGCCAAGGACTTTCTCATGCATGAAGCAGCATGGTTTATTTCGATTACACTGAAAGTAAAGATCAAAGTGAAAAGATACATAATCTAAAATTGTGCACTTGTATGTTTCTCAGCAGAAGAGTCCCAATATTTAGACTGTGGAAACAAACAGTTTTTGTTTTACTCAGTAAATATTTCTTTTCAAAATCACAGCAGACACAATCTGCTAACCTACATGTTTTTACAGAAGAAAAACGTTTAGCAACATTTATAATGTGCTCAGAACAAATGGGATGTGAGGACAGGCCATTATAAACCCCTCCATGGGATATATGCTGGCTTTTCTTTATTCTTCTATGTGCCTGGATGGCCACTCTAAGAGTGGGTATTTAAATACCTTTCGTACTGGAATTTTAGAACAGCTAAGCACTCAGAACCACAGAGTCTGCTAACATTTTACACAGACGTTAAAACTGGCTGTACTGCAAAAGAGGTATTTGAAAAGACATCTCTAGGCATAACCTGTATTTCTCTTGGTAACTTAACACTCATGCAGGCTTGGTGAAAAAGGCAAAAACCTTACCTCTTCTGAGGGATATGTCCACTGCTATGGTGAAAGACATAAGGAAAACACAGATGGGACATTGTTATTGAAAACCTGCAGCAACTGTCTAGAAAGCGTCACAAACTGCACTCGGGTTCTTTTCTGACACACAAACACTATTTTTTCCCATTAACTGGCAGAAAATCTCTGTCTCCTCAGCCAAACTTCCCATTGCTTTCAGCTAAGGAAAAATTTATTGCAGTTGATTACTGTCTAGATTTCATTGCTAGTTAGGTTTCCAAATATAGTTTAGGTAACAGGGGTTAAGCAGCTCTAACCAATGCTGAAAGTATTCCTCGTATTTCCGCTTACTTTCCTCCTCATTGCCTACATGGAATCTCCCTCAAAGCCTGCTGACTTCAGTGAGCCTTGGTAATCCAAGACTAGGGATGAGTCTATTATACTGAGAAGTAAAAAATTCATTAGAAAAAATACATCTCCAACCCCACAGCTGGCAGCTGAGCCTCTAACTCACTCCCACAAAAGTCCTACAGCAGACAAGAGCACGGCACAATTAAACATGTACTTACAGACATAATAAAATTATTTGCCCTATGTTGGAATAATATGACCATTTCATGGGTGAGAGTGTTGAGGCTTTCTGCTGAATATACCAACCTATCAAGTCAGGCAGAAGCTTCCTCCAGACTGAATGTTTTGTGCCCTAAAATCAGACTAGACTGCATAGTTTGGGTACTACACCCAAAAATACTGCTGGTCCAGCCTTGAGCTGCCTCCTATGAAAGGCATCTAAATAGGAGACATTCTTTTGCACAAAACCAGGGGGACAGACTGATAATCAAAAGAGACTTTGTAGAGGAAGAGTAAGCCAACCTAGTGTTGGCTGGAAACACGGGCAAGCTGGTAATTCCCACTGAGGGTTGGATAACAAAAGTAGTTCTGTTAGCCAGGGCAGCATTTAAAATTCCTGGAACAGAGGCAGAAATGCAGCAGACAGAGCAGAAGCGTTTCTAATCAGAAGCAGAAAATGCAACTGGACTGTCGGCGTGCCCCTTTCACGACCAGGAACGGAGGGCTGCTGCTACCCAAGGTGGAGGATGCAGAGGTCTCCCCAGGACAGCCAGAAGCTCTCGCTGGACAGTCAGAAAGGGAAAACCACTGGACCAGACAGCGCACACACATCCTTGCCCACGTCGCAACGGCTACCCCGGGCAGCCAAACCCTCCCCAGC